TGAGACTTAGTTTATTCGAGATGGAATGTACACCCTGCGACAGGTAAGAAAGACTACATTGTTCCTCTATCTGGCAGAGCAACCACCAAGGGAGAGAGAGGAGCAGGGGGAGAATGGAGGGGAGCGTGTCTTACATAGCAAGTGACCATTAAAATCCTTGACAAAAAAATCCTCTCATCGCCCTGATCTGAAACACTGAACAGAGAACTCACAACGACTCTGGGTTATGTAGGACTGCCCTATTGTGCAACAGCTCTTACTGATATAACACAGGCTGTACATGTAGCTACACAGACAATATGTGTTATTTATCATAATACATTAATTTATTAATGGTTTATGGATTAATATAGAAAAAATAAACAGATCTGTAACAACAGCATCATGAGTCGTGTACATTAAATACAACACTGTTTATCGACAGAAGGAAAACAGACGACGTTTAGTTGAACTAAAATATTAGACAATGGCGACCGGAACTTAATGTAGTAAATGTTCCAAAAGTATTGAAACATATGAGAACATATTTAAATATAAAACCCAGCTCAATTGTCCTTCCATTGTCCATGGATCACAGCAGGTATATTTAATTAAAATGACAGTGAAAGTTTCCTGCGGTGAAGAGCTGGGGGGAAATGTTGTTTTCAATTATTTTGATATCCATAACAATTTGCAAATTTTTATTTTATTTTATTTCAAACAGTTAGTGGTTTTTAGGCTTCTACATAAATTCAACACAGCTCTGTTTAAGGGCCGCTCTTGCCGTAGAGACAATGGAATGGATCTCCATAGAACTCAGCTAAACACAGTATTTGATCAGTTACAGAATCAGGTCCTGATAGGGTTACATCAGGGTCTGCATTGGGACCACGCCCCTCCAATTAATCACCACTGGTTTACATTTTTTGAAAGGTGATTTGACTAATTGACTGAACCACAGTATCTAACAATGTTATTTGTTTTAAATTGTTTATTGAAAGATGAAAAATGCCTCTTAAACATAGTTCCTAAGAGTAAATGGAAAGGAAAGAGAAACAGTTTTGTTCAGTTGACTGTGGCTCCTCTTCTCGTATGTAAAGTGTGTGGTCAACAGTTGCAGAGATGACAAATGTGTGAGAATATTTGAAGAGGCTGCAAACACTGTCTTACTTAGAAGTAAAGAGCACTGAGCAAATGTTGCAAAATGTTCTCTATCAACTCTTTCCTTGCAGTCCTCATGACTATAAAGGTCAACTAACAAACGTGGTCAGTTTTGTGAAGACAACTGAAACAAAGCGGTTAATGATCAAATGTCTTCGAGTTTATCTACATATCAAGAATTTTTAAAAACAAGACTGTGTGTTCAAGAAACCCATGGGAACATGAGGAGAAATGTGTCTGACCCAATCTAAGATAGCATCCCACAGAGCAGTAAATCATAATGTTGTCTGTGTCATTGTTGCAGACTGGGAGAGTAGGTGGCTGACAGAGTCAAGAAAGGTGAATGTGTACCAGGAATCAAAGAAGGGACTTCCCAACCCCAGTTCCTAGCACCCAGCCCCTGACTCAACCACTGCCACAACATGCCAAAGAGCACCCTGTTATTACTGTGACCACAGTGGTTTTGATTCTGGACACAGTTCCCAGGTCGACGCCCACGCTCCCTGTTTGTGTTTGTTTGCTTCAATTAGCCGTTGACATCTCTTCTTTCCCTGCACCTCCATACCACAAATGACGCCCCCTCTTCAAATATAGACCCCACATGTTTGCTGGGAAGGCGCTAACATCGACTCTTGTTTAGCGATGGCTAACAATGAACCTACAGCCTGTCTGATCCATTGGTTTCCATTCCCGCCCTTTGTTTGGTTACAGGTATTTCCATGACATTTTATTGGTTCATTAAAAAAATGGAAGACATGTGGCATCTATGGTTTTGTCTTAACATCCCGAAAGCTGTATCAGTTGTAAGTGGAAAAACTACCTCACAACCAAACAAAGTGTGTGTGTGTGCGTGTGTGTGTGTTTGTGTGTGCATTGGGTTGTGGTATCTTAAAGGGGATATTCTGAAGCTTGTTTCTGGGAAAGGAAAGAAAATATAGACAGCGCTGTTGGGTTGTTTTTTTTTTTTTGAATTGTCATTAACAAGCTGAGATCTTGAGCTGTAATAAAGCTGGACATATGTTTATGTAGGTCATTATGACCATTTATTGCTGTATTTTAAAGTTTTATGGATAATGTAACGAGTCACTTAATGTTTAGAGCCGTCATAAATACCTTAGGCAAACCTAAAAACATAGAAGACGTTTTTTATTCCTCTTGTCCTTCAGAGCTTAGTTTTAGATCACAATGTATTTTCATTATCTTCCCTTTGATATAATTGAGATGCAGAGCCTCTGTGGAGATTTATATTTCTCTGATTTGGAACTTTTGCACTATTACCTTACGTGTATCAAAAGTGCACATTTTAAATTGTGCAAAAAAAACAACAACGTTTTTTTCATCTTATGGTGACAGTTGACAGCGTGGTTTTTGATTCAGAGACTTTTCCACTGAATCTGTTTAAACCATCCATAATGACAGTCACACATTCTGACTTGAAATGTAACAAATGAGGAACCTGAAAACGCAGCATCATTCTTCTGAGTGTCTCAATAGTGGTTGTGATCGTCATAAGATAAACAGATAAAGATATTTTGCAATAGCAGAATTTTTTTTTACATTTTACATTTTACTTTTTTTTAAAAAAAAACATTACAATACATCCATATTAATTTTAGAATAATTCCATAATTTCACAGCTGATCTGTTATATTATTATTATTATTATTATTTACTGTTTTAGTGTTTGTTTACAGACACAATTGTTATTATATAGATTAGGCCCATGCGTGAATGTAACTCAGACACAGAGAGGGAAGGAGGATGTTGGTTGGCGGAAGTTCTGCTAAACGCTGATAAAAGGATCGCTTGGTTCTGAGGAAGGGAACCTTTAACTGCTGTGGTTGCTGCTCTTAGCCGAGGAGCCCGTACTCTCACAGCACTTTGTTCTCTCCACGTATTTTTGTCATTTCTCTTTGTTGTCGTATGAATCTTTGGTGGCAACTTGAAAAGATGATCCATGTCAATTTTCCAGCAGCTTTATTTAAAATTCCATATGTAAAAAAACAACAACAATAAAGGTCGAAGTAAAAATATAGAACACAGTTTTATCAGAACACATATGTGCATCAAATTTTGCTTCATATTTTATTTACAAATATTTTGGTTACATCTATAAACCATTGTTTTTAAAATTCTGCAAAGTCAGGCTCTTTGCGTTCTGTTTATATTTGTGTTATTATTACATGTTTATTTCATAACCATCGTTCCTCTCGATCACCTGTATGATCTGGTAATCCACATTATGTCCCACAGTGACAGGCTGCAATAACTTCCAAGGTGAAAGCTCTGAATTTCTGACAATAGTTCAATGTTCAATAGTAATTTTACAGCGTTTGCAGTGACCTTTATGGCACCATTAACTAAAGTCAAAGAACTAAATGTTGTATCTTACAGTAAGGTCCAAGTGTTGTGATGTCATTTGTAGATGGGAGGAAAAAGGGAAATCCCCATCAGCGCGGGTTTCCAAATGCTTCCCAGAAGTGGGAACTAAGATAATTGGAGTTGGTTAGCTGTAGGAGGATCCTGAAAAAAGACGTTGATGAGTTCAGAAACCCAGAACAGCTTGTACATGACAGAAAACAACCGTGCTACTTAACTACTTCATATTCACAATTACTTATTATGATAGTCTAACAGCAGCAGAGTCAAAGAATTTAATTCATGTTTACTCATATGCCCTTGCCAAAATCATCATCCACAAATCTGACTTGAGCAGCTGTGTGCAACCGGCTTTATTCTTAGAGACTTGTTTGGGATAGGAAAACCTCAAAAATTATTTTTTACCGTAACAGAGGGAAACAAATCCCTGCGTCCCTTTGGGCAACTGTTTCAAAATTAGGTTGGAGTTGTTGCAGCGGTGGAAATTCAATGACTCAATGACTATTGTTCCTTGAACTACTTGTATTTTGCTGGTTAAATGCAATTCTCTGTGGATGCATGTAGTCAAATTAGGAAAATATTATATTTTCCTCTCATTATTTTTTAACTCTTAGTATAAACAAATGCGCTTCTAATACTAAATTATATAATATATATAATAATAATAGTAATTATTATTATCATTATTATTTACTATTATTTATTATTATTATTATTATTATATAGTATATTAGTAGTAGTAGTAGTAGTAGGAGTAGTAATAATAACAATAATAATAATCCTGACCAGAGTCAGTGGAGTTACCGGATTCAGCCACAGTCCATGCCAGGAGAGTATTATATCTATCTATTATATCGAGTCATTAAGGGATTAAATAAAGAGAAAATTACTCAAATGCAATCCTTTGAGTGGTTCTGACATAACGAAAATATAAAATAAAAAATATTAATATTAATTTTATAAATTTAGGGAATTTAGGCTTTTCACAATCTTCACGTTGGTTTTAAATCATTATATTATTGAATTTGCCACCGTGTACGCAACCCGATTTCCGCTTCCCAACTAAATACCGATGACGAAATTACCAAAATCAGCCAATCGAAAAGAGCCTCATTTGCCGTACGTGTTACGTAGGCTACGGGTAGCCTTACTGCTAAAACTGCTATCAGTAACAAGATGGATTCTCCCATATTGGTAATGGTATTGTTTATAAACGTTACCAAACGCAGCTTTATTTTAACAGATATTTTCCATTTGCTGGCAAATGGCTGTTTTATGCGTTTTGTCGAAATGTTGTTTCTATGGCGTCTAGTTTATTTATATTTGTTGGCTAACCGGTTAGCCTTTAGCCTGAGTGAAGTTAGCTCCGCAAACGTTGGTGATGTGGAGGTGTCATGAAACTTTCCTTCAAAGAAATAATTGGACATACGAATTGTTTATTTCAAAGACAGTTGGATGTAGTGTGTTTTAATTCATCCTCCACGAACGTGTCGTTCACCGCACTGCGTGTTTGGTTGTAGTTTGATTGTCACAACATACGCTCGATTAAATCGTGTTTTTGTATCGTTAGGAACCATCCTTATACACCGTCAAAGCAGTTCTGATCCTGGACAACGATGGAGACAGGCTTTATGCCAAGGTAGGCAAATGATTTAATACTGCATAGTTTTTTCTTTATTTAAATAATCGATGTCACTATTGCTACTTAATAAATTAACTCATTGTTTTATACCAAGCATTGACATTAAAATACATTTTTAACACAATGCATTTAGAAAAATGTTATGAAATATAACTCGTATAAGGACACGAGCTTAGGGTTTCATACCAAAAGTCAGTTAACATAAAAAATTAAACAAAACAAGTTGCAAATAAAAAGGGTCCAATAATTAGTTGCAAATGTCTTATTAAACAAAACAAAAATGGGTCCAATAATTAGTTGCAAATGTCTTCAATAGAAGAGGTAGAAAGTATTATTATGCATTATTATTATTTGTATTACTGTTGATCAAGCTAGGATGCAGATAGCAAAGTAATTATTTAGTTAGCCAAAAAAGCTTACATACAAAATGTCACATACCAACAAGTAACTATAAATGCATACATTTAAATAAATGTCTGTATTATGATCTGTTTTCTAATTATACTGCCACTGTTATTTTTGCACGTATTTGCTTGTATGTAACGTGTATTTCTGCTACTTGTGCACTATATATGTGGTTTTGTCCTCTTGATCTTCTAAAAAGATTTTTTTAACAAAACAATTAGTCTTTTTATATGTATTTGCTCTATTTTAGGTACATGTTTTAAGTCAGTCATTGTTTAACATTGTCACTTTTACTTAATCAACAGTATTATGATGACACATACCCGACCGTGAAGGAGCAAAAGGCATTTGAGAAGAACATATTCACTAAAACACACCGGACTGACAGTGAGTACTGTTACAGACAATGACTTAAAAAAAAGACCTAACTGTCTAATATCACAGTGTGGTATTTTTTCTTGTGTGTTCAGGTGAGATTGCTTTACTTGAAGGCCTCACTGTTGTCTACAAGAGCAACATAGACCTTTTTTTCTATGTCATTGGAAGCTCTCATGAAAATGAGGTGAGTTTAATATCTGGATTTTTGTTTCTGTTTTTGGTCAAACTTGAAAACACCTTGTAGTTGTTATAAATTGACAGTTTGTTTGCTTTGTGCGCAATGTACTTAGCCGAATTTGAGTATACAGTTTATTTCTTTAAATGTATTATGTTGTCTGACATCCCTTTTGTTTGTTTACTTTGTTTATGACATTTAGGGCTACAGTGAACTGTCAGTAAAACTGGTGCATAATGTTGTAGAAATAGTTAAATGTTGTTGAACTTTAAACTTAAACACTAAGAATGTTTTTTAATATATTATGCAGCCCTGTCTCTGAAGCAGTGTTTCACATGATGATGATGAAACTGAAATGTGGACTCATTGAGAAAGACATGAATCTCATACTGTTTTGTTTTCCACAGCTTATGCTCATGGCTGTTCTGAACTGCCTTTTTGATTCCCTCAGTCAGATGCTACGGTAGGATTCAATACAGTTTTATTGTATTTGATGAAAGTTGTATTTGCATTTAAAGTCTGGTAATGTTAGTACACTAACAGTGAACTTCATGCATGAAGAGGACAGTCTAGTTCACTGATTTTGTTTACTGTTTTCAAGTTTGTCTTCCAATGACAACGCCACCTGCTGTTTTAATTAAATTGTCCACATTTCATTCTGCATTATTAAAAAAAAAAGAAATTATATTTTGTATCATCTTTTGACGTGTATTTATTTTCAATAATTAATGCCTCTTTCATTCTGCATTATTAAAAAAAATATATATATTTTGTATCATCTTTTGACATGTATTTATTTTCAATAATTAATGCCTCATTTTATGTGGTTTTGCCATGTTATTCAAGCAAAACCAAATGTTGTTTGATTACATTTTTCTCATTTTAAAGTGTTCATTATTTAACATTCTCACATTTCACTCATTGTAATATTGTTATTATTAAGAAATGTACATCACAGTACATTTTTTAATCTATTTTTTTTATTTCAAGACCGTTCCTTGTGTCATGTTTGTAATATATTTTTCTCTTATGTTGTAGGAAAAATGTGGAGAGGAGGGCTTTGTTGGAGAACATGGAGGGGCTCTTCTTGGCTGTGGATGAGATTGTAGATGGGGGGTAAGTACTTTTTTAAATTCAAAATAAAAACAACTGGTTTTGTCTTTTCCTTCTGGAATCCCAGACACAATTTGACTCTTTGCTGCCCCCTGCAGAGTAATTCTGGAAAGTGACCCTCAACAAGTTGTGCATCGGGTGGCTCTTAGAGTAAGTTCCCGTCCTCCCAGAGTCATTCAGTTAGGTGGATGTTGGTGTGTGCTGTCAAGTAATGTGTCCTAACTTTTTTCTTTATAGGGTGATGATGTGCCATTGACAGAGCAGACAGTCACACAGGTGAGAAAATGCTCCTTCTTCCGTTCTGTGTTAATAGCTAGGTGTAAAATATCTCCTATGAATAAATGTGACGTGATGATCGGCCATTTCTATTTTGAAATTCTCCTCCACCTTTCCTTTGTCAGTGCATGACAGTAAACGTGTTTTCTTTCTTTTTTTTCTGATGAATTAGTTGGTGATTTTTGTGAACTTATCTTCTCACCGAGTGCTCCGTTTGTGTGTGTGTGTGAGCGTGAAACTGTAGGAGAGAGAGAGAGAGAGAGAGAGAGTGATTAATGTTAGTCATTTAAGAGGCATAGGACTGGCTACTGCCATCCTCCCTCTAGTGGTGATTAATGACAGCCCCTCATCGGCATGCTTTATGGTTGTGATTCAGCTTTCATTCAACGAATTAAGATGATTAATTAGGTCTAACGAACTTCTCTTCAGTTTTAGTGTCAGCTCATCCTTCTTTGTTAAATTTTTAAAGTATAAGCAACTTTTTTTTTCCGCCGTTCTTTGATTTAACCCTAAGTGACAAGAAGACTCTTGTTTTGTGTGTGAGTGATCTGCTGGAACCAACAGATTTCTGCTCCACAGGTTCTGCAGTCGGCCAAAGAACAGATCAAGTGGTCACTTCTACGATAGAGTCACTCGCCACCAGTGAACCCCTCTTCAGCCCACTCTTAATGGCACTGATTTTTTTTCCCCACCTCCTTTTTCCACTTTCCCAATCTTAAAGCTGTGTGGAGTACCACTGGAACCTCCGGTCATTCTCCCAGGACTTGTTTGATGAATTAATTTTACAATTTCTTGCTTCTGTTTCTACTTCTATGTCTCTGTGATCTACTTGATTAACCATCTGGTGTTCATTCCAATATCCAGGCGCGGGCCTGTTGTGTTACACTCCTTTGGTAACCACATGACCTGTCTGTTAAATACCACAATAGTTAGCTTGGCAAAACTGAAAACACGTTAACATTCCTTGTAACTTTGTGAAGAATTATCTCCCAGTTGATAACGACACCATGCCTCCATCTTTGGTTTGCTGTATCCAGTAATGTGTCTCTGTCTCTGTACTGTTCGTGTATATTGTGCTTCAGAAGTGTACAATCAGTACTGTAGTCACACCACTGATCACATGTTCTTTATGCCTTTTCTATTTGGTCTGTGGATCCTTTAATCATCAGAAACTGTTAATAAATGTTTTCTGACACGGTCATGTGACCAGCTGTGATGTGTCGGGCAGAGAACGTCGTGTCATTTTTGAGAGTTTCTGCACCGTCTGTTGTTTACAACACTTTCTTTTGTTGTTCTGCTTGTGTAAACTTTGCTCCCTGCGCTGCAGGTGGCGCAGTGGCCCCTCTTATAACAGTTCAGCTGCTGAGACGTTTTTGTGGAACCACCTTTGGGAGCTCTTCATTTTCTTAGTTCCATTTCTGACACCTACTGGCTGTTTTCCGCTATTACACATTTTCTCTGACGCTGGTATTGTTTTTGCATTCTGGTTTTACTCCCTGCACTTTATTTAGAGCTGCCGTGCTCTTAGCTCCAAGTAGGAGCTGGGAAAAAATATCATACAACACAAGGGCTCCATCTGGTGGTGTTTTCAATGCATTGCAGGTTAGGAAAAATGCAGTTTGTATGGACAGGAATCATTCATAGTGTTGATCCGGAACTCGTACCATACAGTGTGCTGTCACTAGTTTTATGGAGTCAAACTTCATTCGTTCTCTGCTGTGTGAGTCATGAATTGTGGGCTTTCACAATCGATTTTCGCACACAAATGTCACACGTTCTGATTGTAGGTGAGAAGAAGCACCAAAACATGTATGTAGGTACAAATGAACGTTGTTGTATTTTCTACTGAGGAATCTCCATGTGTTCTCAGAGGATCCTTTGGGAAGTGGTTCTGATGGCAGTGATTTGTGACGACACTTCCAACCATACCTAATCTGAACCACATTCAGTAGCAGCAGTGGGTCTTGTTACAGCTCATGTCTTCAACTTCCTCGTCATTTCTCAGATCGTGACATGTTTGTTGGCTACAATCCACTGTTGAAGCTAGAGTTTTAGCTCATTTCTATACCGTCCAAGTTAGCCAAATGCTTTAGTTTCCTTCTCCTGAATAAATTCTTTGGCTTGGACTTCAAAGAGTGAGCGCTGTGAAGTTGTTGTCATGTCTGCGCCCTGCAGGCGTTTGTAGACAGGATCGTATTACGTCAGCCATGTCTGCGCCCTGCAGGCATTTGTAGACAGGATCGTATTACGTCAGCAAGGATGTCAGTGTGAGGAGATTTTTTTTTTTTTTTTTATCCTGTGGGAAATTTACGTCTTTTCTACTGAAACAATGTGTTACATCTTGTGGGAAAAGCAGTGGCAGACGTTTGAATTTCAGAAATGGCCTTGCAGATGCTTGGCCTGGTTTAGAAATGAAAGGTATCGTTGACATGTGGACAACAGGTATATTTACCTACTCTTTAAAAAATGTTGGGCGTGTATCAGGAGAGTTTTTTTTTTTATCTGGCTGTGAAGGTGTATGGATTTTCCTAATCAACATATACAGAGGGAGCCACTAGTGTGTATGTGTGTGTGTGTGTATATATATATAGATATATATATATGTGTGTGTGTGTGTATGTTTTTGTCTTAATCTACATATATATTTATATAGACTGAGCAGGGAAATTAAAAGTGTTAGCAGCGTTCTGCCTGGTGCAGCCCTTGGCTGTGCTCCGGTTTGATTAAGTCGTTGAGTTTGTGTTTTTCTGCCAGCAGGGAGTGTATGAAGGGAGGCCATGTCAGTGCCACTAGCTGGGAGTTTTACTGGAGGAAGAGCAATAAGAAAAGGGGAAGGTAATCACTATAAATGGACTTGACTACTGCACTAGTTCTCTGGTGTGATGAAGGCAGCTCCAGTCACAGAGTCAGAGGGAAAGATGAAGGTTAGAGAGGACGAAGGCTTTTTCAGGAGTCGGCGTCAGTAAATGTGATTAGATTAGATCCAGTAAGAGCACCGCGGGGAAGAGGGAGGGTTCAAACTGATTTCACCCAAGGTGCCTGTTCACACGCACACATCTTCATCTGGATGGCCTCGCAGCAGCATCGGCAGATCGGTGACTTTCTTTCATTGGCTAATTACACTTGCCCTGTCATAAAAACCAGCACGGTGATTTATATTAATTATACAGGAATGGGTCTAACGCTTTGAAACGGCGGGCCGTGATAGGCTGCACAGAACATGCAGTAAAATTGTCAGAGATGTGTGAGCGTGAACTCTGTAATTGATCAATGCCCGTGCTGAGAGCGTCTCCTGCTCGTGTGTGTGTGTGTGTGAGAGAATTAGAGTCAATAAATTATGATCATCAGTGAGCTTAGAGAGTCCTTATGTCGTGGTCAATGGGCCTTAGTACACATCCAATGACTTTACGCTCTGAAGAGAAACAATGCTGAGGAAAAACACCGACACTTTGTTGGCTCCACTACTGTCAACACGGTGCAGTTAGAGCCATTACAGCGTCTGATCAGGGCGAAGGCTGCCATCCACGTCCGGTGGAACGAGCCCATGTGTTCAAATTAAAACATTGCTTCACCTTCATTGCTCTAGCATTACATTTAGACCAAAAGTGTGCAATAATTCTCCCCCAACCGTTTCCTGAGACAGAGTGTGTAGTTCCTCTCAGTTTTCTGCAGGTGGTGCTATAAACACAGTTTTCATTTTTACTGGTGTAAGATGGCATGTGACATATGTCGCCATAGGACACGTTTAAATCTTTAACCCGCTGACATTTTACACACAAGAACAAGTAAATATATATTAATGTTTGTAGACAGCTGTTTGTTTTAAAATCAAAGTCTAAAAACTAAAAGCCATTTATTTCAACATGTTTCCTGCAATTTTCCTTTTTTAAAATTTATTTATTTAGTAGATTTATTACTTTCAGTAATCACTCTCCTCCGAGGCTCTGGAAACCTTGGCTAATCCTGCTCACCCCCGCCCTTAACCTTGGTGCTTCTAAATCCAGAGGCGTCGTGATCAGCTGCAGTAGAAGAAAAAAAGAAAAAGAAAGAAAGGCAGAGAGCGGCTTCATTAGATGAATGCACCATGACACAGACCACGTGACAGGTTTGAAATCAGGTGTAACGGCTGTGATTCCCTCGGTGTTTGACTCATCTTTGCATTACTGTATATATAATACATGATGTTGTGATTACAGTCTGAGGGGGAAGTGTTGCAGCTCAATATGGTATTCATTTAATTTAAACTAAACAAGCAGATATTCAGACAGTTTGTAAACATAACATTTAAAAGTAGGTCAATACAGGCAGCTGCGGGCGCATATGACGAGGTGTGTGTGTGTGTGTGTGTGCATGTGTGTGTGCATGCTGAGAGGTGATGGTATGGGCCCAGGCCTGCTTGCTTTGACTCAACAGCTTGATGTGGTTTATGGCCCCAGTTGCCCTCTCTGGGTCTGTTTATGGATTCCCATAGAATGGAGAATCACGGCGGCTCCAGGGAAAGGCAGCCAAAAACAACACCTCCACCACCAGCGCATATCTGCCTGTCTTTGCCATAACTCACCGCGCTGTTTATGTTTCTGACGGTGCGAAAAGAATTCATAGTAATCACATAAGATGACTGTAAATTCTGATGCTAATGTTTAATTTTTTTCTGTTGATGCAAGATAAAAATGTCACCACAAATGTGTTTGGTTTATTGGATGTCGTTACAGGTTGGCGAAAAAAAAAGTGGGCTTTGTTAAGGGGAGGCTTGGAATAGCACTGCCTTCGCAGGAGCATTTTTTTTTTCTTTCTTTTTTTATGATATCTGTAAGATTTATTGCATGAAAATGTTCAACTTTGATAGGATAATGAAAGTGCACCACCGAGGGCATTGTTAATCGAGGAAATATTCCACCTGATGTGTTTTCCCTCTGCTGTTTTCCCTGTAGTTCCTCTGTGAGTGCAGTGCATTACTCTTCAGTGAAAGCACACTTTAGAAGAGTAATAGTGGGGGCACAGTGGATGTGAAAATACCCAGGTCAGAGCTGGTACTGGCTGCACACAGCAGGGCCGTATTCTGTTTCTTTACGGTAAGATGGAAAAACAAAAGTTGTCAGGCCAAGTTGCTGCAGAGTTTCTCCTGCGTTGCCGCGGGGGAAACTCCATCAACTTCTGAAGCTGCACAAGTGGGTCACATCTGGTTAGAGCTTGGGCTCAACTGGACCCTAGCCGACCCCTCTAGAGTAACCTCCTGCCTGGATTCCTGAGGGCAGTGTGACGCCAGGCGCCTGTCGCTGCTGCTGGTATTGCTGAGTCATGACAGCAGGAGGCGACTTGTTTTCTGTTGTTGACATTTGAAGCCAATAAGGTTAGCTGTTTTCTGAGCGAACGGCTAAAACCTTACATTTTTACTGTTATAGATAATATTACAAATGTGCACTAGATGGCAGTAATGGAACTCAATTTTATTAATTTTGGTTTGTAACGTTAAGATTTTGGCACAGAGATATTGCAGCTACATAGCATCATAGCTGTGGCCTGCCGTCAGTTGGTCAGCTCTGTCATCTGGATGGCTGGTGGCCATTGATTGACAGCCGGCTCAGACGTGAGCTAAAGGTATTAGTTGTTGTGGAAAAAAGGTTTAACAATCAACGGAGTGGTGACGTGAACTCACATCATGACTTCAGTAATAGCACTCGGTGCATGGCAGGGACTGGAACTGCATGCACTTGATTGGCTGGTGGTGAGCTGTGATTATAAAAAAAAATCTTAGTTATCAGAGACTTTGTGATCACTGGGTTTTATTGAATAACAATATTTGATGCAGTTAGCAAAGTTATTCCCTTCAGTGTCAACTGTGCATCTTCTTTGGTGCTTTGCAACTGAACTTTAGGTACATTACTGCCACCTACTGATGCAGAGTGGGTGCATCAGCATTACAACTGTGCAAGAAATCCTGCAAAAACCTACGAACAATGAGTTATTGTACGTAATTAAATATTTGCGATTAAGAGAATGCCAGGAATACTGCAGACAATATTGTTGTTTCAGTTTGTAAAAATATAAACCAGCGCAGATATAGTGGTGTGACTCATTTTCTCTGTAGAGAGGAGACATCAGACGCAGCTCTGCAGCTTTATGAGTGGAGCTGCTTGGCTTCTTCAACTCCCACTACAGCCGTCACTCTGCTTCTCCATTTTTCAGGTCCATGTTTAGTCTTGCTTTGCACGGAAAAAAAAATCCTCGGCAT